CACGGATCACCGACTCGTAGTCTGCGGTAGGCTTGGAGCAGCTGCCGCTGACGGCTCATTTCGGTGCTGAAAATTCCTTCGTTTGACCCTAGAGTCACGTATATATATATTATCGAGCCATTTCGTTTTACGTACGAATTCGTTTGACCCTGGAGTCGCACATATTTGTATTATCGAGCCATCTCGTACGAAATATTTAATATGGGACTTTGATGATTTTAATGTGTCGTCGATTGCCTGTTTAAGTCCTATAAGTTATAAACTGTGTATTTAGGCCTTTAATGTTACTGAAGCGCAGACGATCGTCCGCCACACCGGACTTCCACGTGACCCCGCTGAAGAATATACAGTAAAAAATATCAATAGCCTAGCACTCTAGTCTAATTCTGGCTGGTGTTCAATTTTCGCGGTGCGGCGCCGGGAGGTAGACGTCTATAGTTTCCTTATCCCACTTAATGAGAAAACTTTACTTGGTGAAGTGATGTACAGTATATACCGTTCCTTGGTGAAGTGATACATATATATACCCTCTGCAGAGCGGGAAGCTACAATTGATGCGTGTGCTAGTATTATATAGCGAGATCACAACAATCAAAGTTGCATGTTGTGAAAAATAAAGTGTGCTGGAAGTTGAAGCTTAATTGAGCCACTCGGATCAAAAAAGATGTAGCACGTTCTCCGGTAGGACGCGTGCAACATTTTGGTTGTTGCGTTTTGTCCTGTCTTCCCTATGAATGTACCAAGGATGGACACGATGTGTGGCTGAGATTTGAATGAGAAAGAGCTGAAACTTCGACCATGCTTGAAATTATTGGTAAAATTTCCTTTAGACGACCTCATTGTTCTTATTGTTGATCTTCAGATGCTTTTGCATTGAAATTGCAGCTGTTTCCGGAATCTTATTGAAATGAATTATTTTAAATATATTAATTGTAGAACTTAAACTAAACAATGTAGAACTTAATGTAGAACTAAACATATTAATATAGAATTGACGTCTTAATTAAACCACATTCAGAACGCAAGTTAAGTATACTGTAGAAAACTCTAGTTTTCTAGCTAGTGTAAAGAACGTTTTGTTCTCATAAGCTAAAAGCAAGCTACGCTGCATACACCGCACTGTATACAGTATACGTATAGGCGTCACAGTCGAGCAGTGTAAAGAACATTTTGTTCTCAGAAGCGTATAAGCAAGCTACGCTGCATACACCGCACTGTATACAGTATACGTAGGCGTCACAGTCGAGCAGGTGTGGTGTGCTGTCTGTCCAAGACGGTCCTGTTATTTTTCGTCGTGCATCTGCTTCCTTAAAGTGCCGGCTGCGGTGAGCTTCTTTTTGAATTAAGAGCGCTTAATTTGCCCTTATAATCTGCTTAAATGTGCCACTACCACGCGCTTAGTGACCAACTTCCATCCTTACCAATTTCATTTGAAAACACTTTTTTAAGTACGAAATTGATAAGGATAAAAGTTGAATTAGCAGAAACCGGAAATAATTTTGCAATGTTAAAAACGTTTTTATTTAATTTGAAGTTTCTTTTCCGAGGTGTAAACTAAATGGAATATTATTTCCATTGCGACTTTTAGCCAATACTTTTGATGTAGAATATAACATTTTTGTACTTCATTCATTCCTCACTGAAACGTTCGATCAATCACAGCTGACATCGGCATTTCCTTCTTCACCATCATGAGCTGCTAAATAGGTTAAAATACGTCATTTTTCGTGATGTTTTGCCAGTGAACGCTTGCCGAAATACTTCACAGTCCATTTGATTCTTCGAGACCAATATTATGGGAAGGAATGTCTTGAAGAGAACGTTATCAAGACCCTCGCCATTATCTGGGTTTCCTTTGAGCAATTGTGTCCATTTCTACCATTGCCATCGCAAGCCCCTACCACGCACCAAATCAATAGAACCAAAAACCCTACAGATTACATCTCTCTACCTCCATGACCGTCTACACTGCGTCTCGCCATCCGTACGCCTCATATATACCGTCCGAACATTTATTGATTTCTGGCTTTCCGTTTTCGTTGCAACTTCATTGCACACAATTTTAGCGCAAATAAAATTATTCCAGTCCAGGTTAGAATTTTTGAGATGGTGACTTTTTATGACAGGCTCGATAAAGTGCTTTCGGACGCAGGAACAAAAGCATGCAGCCTTAACACTAATCTAATAATTTTTTGCAGAATCAAAAGTACAAAAAACTTATATGACGAAACTGTGAATACATTACTGGTGTACAAACTCGTAAAATAATGCCTTACAAGTACTAACATAACCTGTTCACGTCCTATAAACTGAGCTGTAACCTTTGCCTCAACCTTTAAATTTTGAGTAAAATAAAAGACGTTACAATGTCCACGTCCATTGAGACATTTGGAATATTTGAATTAATTAGCATAATTAATAAATTCTGCCCTACCTAATCTGTGAGAAGTGCATATTTATATATATCACCAAAATTAGTTTTTTATTCTGGCATTACCAGCTTGAAACAGCAACGTATGTTGCTGATTTACTGACGATAGTGCTGCAACTGACTATACTGCTGCCACTGACCATACTGCTGCCACTGACAATACTGCTGCCACTGACAATACTGCTGCTACACGACTTTCCATTACTGCTGGTATTACTCTTGCTGCCTTTTATGCCACTAATATTGCATATGAATATATGCACTAATACGGCTAGCATCGCTATACCGTTATCTGTGGGCAGAAATATTTTCTGCCTATATATGCCGAGTAGGGGCTTTAGATGCTCGCAGTATAGCTGATAATATTATATACTTCAATATGATATTCTTGCCTCAGCTGCTGATATCGTCATCCATTTCTGCGCATCGTCAAAATAGACATGTTACAAGTCAGGCTGCGAACGTTTGCACCGTATAGTGTTGTTTGCTTGGCTGTTGCTGCGGCTGGCTTTACTGCCATTGCTGCGGCTGGCTTGGCTGTTGCTGCGGCTGGCTTTACTGCTATTGCTGCGGCTGGCTTTACTGCCATTGCTGCGGCTGGCTTGGCTGTTGCTGCGGTTGGCTTTACTGCTATTGCTGCGGCTGGCTTGGCTGTTGCTGCGGATGAATAACTTACTGCATTATAGTTCAAGTTCTGGTGTAAATTACTTAATGTATTTGAGTTCTGGTAGTCCTATGAATAACTTACTGCATTATAGTTCAAGTTCTGGTGTGAATTACTTAATGTATTTGAGTTCTGGTAGTCCTGTGTATAAATTACTGCATTATAGTTCTAGTTCTCTTGTATATAACTCACTTCATGAAATAATTTAATCTTTTTCATCACTATCCCAGCATTTTCGAACCACTTCGAATAGAGTAATTTAATTAAAGTATTCCATGTACCGGTATGACCTTCTAATAATGAGCGGAATATCCTCGTAGATTTTTGTAGTCAATTACTGTCTTTTATAATATCTTCAAAGCGAGAAGGAAACCTTGGCCATCCAGATAGTTCGATTTGTTGAAGCAGACAATTTTTTCAAGAAATAATATCTTGAATGAACAGGTGCACTATACCAGGCGATAATCTCTCTAGTTAATTTGCGATAATTAGTCGGCAATAATTCAAATAAAGCGCCATCAATGTAACACCCAATGCTATTCTAAATAATGTAATGTAACAAATTACTATTCAATCTCGTGCTTTCTTAATTTGATTAAGAGTCACAATTTTCTTGTGCTTCTTTTTATAAATACGCACATTACGAATGCTGTGTTTAAAACATAAATAAGTTTATATTCAATGCTTACTGGACGATAACAGATGAAAAGGCACGTCCAAGCGTGGGCAAGTTTTGAATTTAAAAGCTGTATGGTATTCCCTCACTGAAACTTTCACGCAGTTGAGTGCCGACCTGACAATTATTATACCATCAATACTGTTAATAGAAAGCTGTCAAGTGGGCGAGAATTAGCAGTGGGAGCGTCATGAGCGAACAGCGCCTTGACAATCAATCAATTAAGAGAAGTTCGAGTGCAGTGTGTAATTAAGGTCTCTATAAGTCCCGCTCTTTCCGGCCCGCTAACTTCACTCTTATAAGTGATCTTGCTAATGAAGCGCATACTCTACGTCCGGTATATGTGCTCAAGACTTCGTCCAAATGCTTCAAATATTCACCAAATGTATAGGAAAAGCAGAGCAATAGCATTCATATATATCATACAAATTTAAAGGGTGAGAAAGTCCTCAGAAGTTACTGAAAACCTTTCGGATTCGAGCAGCAGTCGTCATGCTTCTTATTAAAGTTTTTTTCCTTTCTCTCATCGGACGCAATTGTAGTTTTAAGCGCATGAACGCAGACTTTTTTGCGCGCTACTTTAGCGTTATTGAATTTCATATCGGATGAATTCAATACAAATGAAGTTTACAGTCAATCGATCTTCATACGAACAAGAAATTCACGCCTGCCTACACAAGTTTCGCTCCAATTACAGCGTAAGTTTGAACGGAAACACATGACTAGGACAAGAGGCGCATTTCCTATCATATTTCTGTCTCCCCTCGGCTGCCATTTTACTGAGGGAATTATTACGGAGGCAGAGCCCTCGCTCGTCAATCCCTGGGGTGGCCAAGAGAAAGATGCGAGGGAAGGTTTGGAGAGAGGGGAGGTTGGGTAAAAAAAGAAATAACTGCGCTGCGTAAACGGCATCTATAAGGGGAACTTACTTACTGGAATTTATAAAACTAGCATATCACCCATAGAATTTCGAATAATTTTTGATTGTCAGTTATTTCTTAATTTTACCGAACCTTGTGAAGTTCGTACATGCACGTAGCATGCAAAATTACTGAGAGTAAATGACATTACGATATTACCAAGTCGATTTTTTGTGTAAATTAGAGTATTAAATGGACAAAATGAGCAAATTAGGCTTATAAAAGTTCTTTTGCCCATAGAACATTCTCTTGTTTCACATGTAACGGTCTCACAAACTTTCTGACAATTTTTTTTTCTTTCTTCCTCAGGCGACATCAAAAGCTACCGGCAGCAACGCACCAGGACTTCACCACGGTTAACTGGACGCATCCACACAAGAATCCCTGAGATGAAAAACTGAAACGAATGAAAATTCAAAACTACAGGAAGAATTTGCTTCCTAAAAAAGCTTGACTAGAATTAACTGAGAATTCCGGGATCGAAAATCGCTGATAATGTCTTCGGAATATGGAAGTGCAGAATTAGGTCCAGTGGCAACTCAAGCGCGAGTGGCCGCTGCAGCCCGAGCTCCCACTTCTCCAACTGATATCCATACTCTGGCTCTACACAATTCTAATGCGGTTCTCAACTCGATGATGTCTCACAATATGCTTCTCAATCAACGGCTTGACAAACGACCCAATGTTGATCACATATATGCTCACCTGAATTTAATGCAGAATCTTTCGGGGAGATTTAATTCAGTATACAGTAATGCTCCTGGAATACCATTTCCCCCAGCGCAGTTGCCGCCGGCGCCAAAAGAAAGGATCGAAGATATTTTAGGTCAGATGTTTCAAGGCACTGGACCTGTTTCCATCCCTGGCAGCGACAATCTCAGAAGGCAAAGTAACTCTTCCCCTTCGCAAGAATCGTCTCCGAAGAGAGCACCGACTTTATTGGAGTTGTCGTCTAACACGCCTTTGCCGAAGGACTTGATTGATTCGAAAGATATATTTCAAAACTATCACGAAACATTGGGCAAACCACTGCACGGGCTTTCTTCGCCAGTCGATCGTAACCCTTATTTTAGATGTTACAGTTCCGAGTCCACTGTGACAGGAGTACAACCCCTTCCACAAGGTATATTTTCGTTTGCCAACCATTCTCAAGCAGGAGCTTCTTCCAGAACAAGTCCTGCTCAACAACCTTCTCCAGGACCACGATCAACGTTTCTCTTAAATGATCATCGTCCCATTAAGTTGGTTCCCAGTGTGCCTTCCGAAGGTCATAATTCTTTATTTCAAAGTCAACCTACTAATTCATTACATGGTCAAGCATCAACTTTGTTAGAAGCGCCTTCTTCACCCCCAACTCGTCAATCTGACTCAATAAAGGGAATTTCTTCCATCTTGAGTTCAAAACCTCCAGCTACAGACAATTCTCTCCCGTATGCCGCGACGATGCAGACGATGCAACTATCACCAAAATTGTCGACGTCTCAAACGCCTCCAAGTTCATCGGTAGAAAAAGTCAAACTTGAGCCAGAAGAACAAAATTGTACGAGTGTGGCCTCAAATGTTTCATTTGCTATTAATAATTCACCAAAAAGTAACGATGATACCTTGGCGGAGTTTCGCCGTACTCCATCAGAGATGGTACAAGCAAACTACGACGTTCAAGGAAGTATCCAAGTTAAGAAGCAGCAGGAACTTTTCAACCCGCCAGAAGAATCTCGAAGCCTGAATTCGGCTCCAGTGTCTCCGGAAGCCGATTTGAACGAAAATTCAAATGATTCCAGCACATTCTCAGACAGAAATTCGTTTGCGGATGAACGTGCGGATGCTGCTGCAAATAGATACTCAGCAGAAGAGAATTCCAGAGATATGAGGCTTTACTGTCTTCAGTGTGACTTCGTTACAGAAGATAAAGAAATTCACATGAAACATATCCAGTCCACGCACAATGTGTGTCGCGATTGTAAATATCAGGCAGAATCAGCATCTCAATTAGAAGAGCATCGCCAGACATGTGCTCCTACTAGCTCATCGTCGTCAACCAAACCCAAAACCAAATCGAAGAAGCTTACGTGTAAAGTTTGCCAAAAAGAAGCCGCGAACGATGAAGAGTTCTATGAACATCGACGAGAGCACATCAGTCCAGATAAGATTCTGAATTGTGAATATTGCCCGTTTGTAACTCAGTATAAACATCATCTGGATTATCACATGAAGAATCACACAGGAAATAAACCCTTCAAGTGCCAGAAATGTGAATATTCGTGTGTAAATAAATCCATGTTAAACTCCCACATGAAATCTCATAGTAATTTTTACTCCTATAGATGCAAGGACTGCAATTACGAAGCTAAGTATATGCATGCATTGAAATGCCACTGTAGAAAATACCGTCACAACGCGTTGCCAGTGATAAATCCTGATGGCACAATTAATCCTTTTCCTATTGTCGACGTTTATGGAACTAGGAGAGGCCCTAAAGTTAAAAGAGACGCCGAAGGTAATATCATCATGCCAGCGCATTACACTGCAAAAATATCGATGCAGTCAACACCTAAAGACAATGAAGGTGTTTCGTCGGGAAGCCGAACTTCGAGCCAAGCCACAGTACTATCGTCTGCACTTTCCTACTGTCACAGCCCGTTACCTCATAACAATTCAGAGCCAGCTCCCATGCCCCCATTTAATCCTTATTGTGGGATAGACACGCGTATTTTTCATCATAATAGTCCTCTGTTCAATACGCAATCTCCTCCGTTGGTGAATCAGCCATCGTATCTTAACTCCCCCCAGTCTCCTGCAATCACGAACCATCGTCGCTTGCTGGAAACCCTGGCAAAATCACAGGCTCTCTCAGGCACCATTAAATGCCAATATTGCCCCCAGTCTTTGCCTTCAGAAGAACTACTGCAACAACATATCCTTTTAGCACACCTCCTTCCTCGCAATTCTCTGGTTCAGGAAGCTGGCACTCCTACTCGAGCTCCTCCAAGGCATGAACTTCAATCAGACGCTAGTACGACTATCTTCACACGGTTGCTGGCTGCTCGGTTTGCCGAGTCAGGGCTGCATGCCATGTCACCACTCGTGCATTTAGCACCATTCCAACCTCAAAAAGACGAGACCGTAGTCCCAGAAAACTTTGTAACTTCCCAGACGCTGAGAAGTAGTTCGCCTACTCCACTAGATCTTACCAAAGATCACACGCCACCTCAACAGATCATGAGGCGTCGTTTGTCAGAAAGCCCTCCAGATGTGGCGGCCACTTCCTTGACGCCTCCTGACACCTGCTCGCCGCCCAAAAAAATAAGACGAAGCGATCATCTAGCATTCGCTAATAGACGCCTCGAAAATATTGAAGAGGAACCTCAGGCCAGTGACATGGTGAAAAATGGAGAGTTCGACCATCGGGCAAAACTCTCAGAATACGCGATCAAGTCGGAGCCAACAGAAGACTTGCGACTAGACGTAGATGCGTCACTTCAAGAAAAATCCACTTCTGACGCTCTTGAATGTTCTATCTGCAAAATAACTTTCCGTGTTGTTGATATGTTCAAAAAGCACATAGCATTTCACGACGACGAAGAGCCTCTACGATGCTCGTTTTGCAAAGACCTCTTTGCAGACTCGTCTGTTTTCTTTGAACATTGTTTTAACTGTAAGAAACGTTTTACTTTAGCTTCTTAGTTCCTAAAATAAATAATAATTTAGCAATTAACCAAATAAGTAGGCTGGTGATTCACGTAGATTATATGCTTGAGTCTGCTTTTGACATTTCAACCGTTCTGTTAAGGTTCGCGACTAATAAGGTTCGCGACACTAGAAAAAACTTTGTAGAACATTAAATTCACCGATTTCGGGAGCAGCAGAAAGTTGAACGGAGCCTAAATATCGGAACCGTCTGTAGGAAAGTTGAACAATGCTTCATATCTTTCTGAAGTCCAAACGAATTCACGATTGCTTCAAGATGTGTTTTTTAGTTCAACGGTTCATGCTTGTGATACTTAGGAGAGTTGTATATTTAATGTAATAAATAATAACATGGCTAAATCATTTCAGTAGATGTTGGCTTTTAAGAAGATGTTAGCTTTTAAGATATGAAAGCGTCGAGTGAACGGGGGTGTCACCGTGTTTAACTAAATGTAATTAGGGTTGAGCTGTAGAATACGATGAAGAGAAATTCTCATTCATTCATATCTTATTTTATGGAACCTTGCTTGAAATTAATTAGGAATTATCCAATGAGATGATTTTTAATAATGAAAATGATGCAAGAAAATATTACAAAAATAATATCCCACTATTAGTTGTATTGAAAGGCAGTGTCATAATATCTATTAATTGAGAACTAGTCGCTAAGTTTTGTATAGTTTCACTCTCTAGCAAATCGAGGCATTAACAATTCCATACGTTACCGTCGAATTAGGTTATCAAGATGAGGCGAATTAACTTATAGGTACTGCGCTTGTGTGCTTCCAGGAGAGTTTCAGGCTAGAAATAGTCAGGGTATGATAGGCTTAAACAAAGTTATTTAGTTATATCATTGTTTGCTTTTGACATATTTCGTGTCGCGGGAGTAGACTCTCAGAGGGGTTGGGCAAGTAAGCGCTGCAGTGAGCGCGTAGCTCGACATGCAAGCGATCGTGTATTGCTACGACGGACGGTGCTTTTAATTGTAGATCGTAATTAATGCTGATATCGAGTGATTCAACGCAAGTTATTTGAGAGGAAATTGACTGAAGATTGAAAATCGTAGGAATTCGTATTGACTTATTTCAGAATAAAATGGCCTTCGTCTCTTAAAAGGAATCCGTTATACTCAGAATTTATTTGGTATTGTCTGCAGTGTTCGGGTGAAATGTTTTAATTATTATTTTTAAATAAAGTTTTGTTCAATATTTTGTCGAGTTAATGTAAAAAATCATTGCGACAATGTAAAAAAATCAACGTTAAATTTGTCTGTAATTGTGATACGAATTGTACAATGGAATAATTATAATAATAATTAGACTTACTAGTCTGCATATTCTGTTTTAACACCTCGTTGGATATTATGTTCTGTATGTTGTATAAATGAGCAGTCGTGAGAGCAATTTGGTATCAAGAACCCATTGCGTTACGATGGGCGTGTCATAAAGGGTTTAAAGAACTGGAAAACTGTGGAAAGAAATTATATTTGTTACCTAAATTTGAAATTTTTTATGTTCAGTCATCCTTTGTATAAATCCTAAGTATACAATTCAAGTCAATAACATGGCGATAAAATCGACTTAGAATAAAGTAAAATGAACCAAAAGAAATATTCGTAGAAAATATATCGTGGTAAATAACCATGCCTTTATTATGAAACTTTTTGATCTAATTGAAATACCGGTATATGAATCTCATATAAATAAAGGATATCATTCTCAGCGGCAGAATGTTCAAATTAAATTGAGTATACTTTACTGTGAAAACATTTCGTTGCTGCGGTCATATCTTAGAAATATATTCGTTGTTTCATTCATTCATTTATCACTAGATAGGCTTGCAGTATGTCAAGCATGGAGGTTTCCTGCGACTTAGTGCAGAAGAAATACATTAATATATGAATAGTTTTGCACAACTCTGTCGTTCAGATAAATTGGTTCGGATCGAAGGCGCTCAGCTTCACAGAGAGAGAAAAGTTTTCGAGAAGCAGATCAATGATTGTGAACAAGTAAATATGGATAATATAATTTACCTTACCAACGCCAAGCCTTGGTTGCTTGGCGTTGAGAGTCGTTGAAGTAAGCAGGTACGGTAATTACTGCGTCTTTAACAGCCCCTCCCAGGTAGGCTTCGGCGATTTCTTTCATCTTAGTTAACACCATAGAAAAAATTTCTTCGGGAGGTAAATATGAGTCATTAAATTGAAAGTCGTCGTTGAACAACATCTTCCTTGATTTTCGATTTCTCTCTCAGTCTATTTTGAGAGAATTTTTTCCTGAACTGATACATTAGAACAGTGTTACAGATGAATATTTCGGCTAGAAATGAACGAATCTCAGTGAGCCGATTTCCGTATCCCTGAGAATGAAATTGTCTGAACATTAATTTAAAATGGAATCCATAACAAAATAGCTCAAAATGCCAGAAATTACACCAAATAAGTTCTTGCTATTTTGTTTCTGGGATCCAATCATTGTCAAAAAGTCAGAACTCATGCGCATTAAGGTTCCCCAACGCGTTCGCAAGACGGCTAATGTACAAAATTAATGTACAAAGAATGAGTCATAGAGTAAAGATTTAAAAAAATATATTAGTTCGTTGAAAACGTACAAAATTCTAAATTCATGAGAATTTTCTCATCTGGAAAGTCTTCAATCCTACTTTAGTTAAAAAAATGTTATTCTGTGAATGTTTTCCCTCGTGAGTTACAGTCCAAAATAGGTTATATTGTATTGGTTGATGCTCAAAACAATTACTATTTCAATAAACTAAGCTCACTACCATTGATGTTATAATACCACGATAGCTGAGGTCTCTCCTTTGAATTGAAAGTGCTGCTTCTGTATGATGATATATTAAACATGTTATTATATAGATGTACATTATCTAGTAGTCGGGTTTTGGTGAAATTCAATGTACGAAACTTGTCTATAGTGGCTACATCCTATATCATTAATTCAGTGTTTCAGTCTGTATAGTTTCAGTCTGTACGGAGAATGCTCATAAATGCTCTCCTTGTGTACATGTAATTAGTTAGTATTTAGATGAATATGTAAAAATTGTGTATTACATGATGATACGGTAATAATGATGTGTGCATTGTTAACAGAGTTTGATCTTCCCCTTATAGTCGATAAAAATATTAATAAGTGAACTATATGAATGTTATTGAGACCGTCTTGAGCGAGGTACGCGCTCATCAAAGTAAAGGCAATTATATATTAATACATCGTATATTTATCGTCCCAGGGCCATAGTGCAGAGTTTTAGCGTAACACTGAACTGTAGCGAAGATACATTGGTGGATTAGTCCGCTCTCACTGATATTATTGCCAATTTTTTATGTATAGTGATGGGCAGTAAAACTATCTTGGTTCAGTCACTTCCATAGATATTTCCTGTTGGGCGTGGGACGCGGGTTCATTGCTCTTCTCTATCGACGCGCTCATCTCGGACGTACCTCTATCAGCAGTTTTGTCCAAGCTGAATTACAAAACCACTAGCCTATAGACAACTATAATTTTCTTACGTTAACATCTGCAATGGAAAAAGTATTTCTACATTGTACGCGATATAATAATTTTATGGAAATTATAATTGACTAATTGAGTTCCGGCAAAGAGTTGCTCCTCATTGATGTTACTGAGCCGCCATGACATTAGATCAACACTACCTTGAGAGTAAACATTTTAGTACATACATAATATTACTGACATGGAAATCGCTGAAACCGAATAATGATTTTTTTTTACCAGCTATTATTATTGCTCGAAATGCGATATTCGTACGAACAGCTTGCTTGTGCAATGTGCATAAAGAGATAAAACGGAACACATGCTATAGGAAACGAGTCATTTCATCACTCGAGCAAACTCTAATATAGTTCACTCTGCGTCGAAATGAGGTATCGAGAGATCAAGGGTACTGACAAACGATACAAAAATGAGTGTGGTCACGTTACAGCTGTCATTAGCGAGGCTGTTGGCACCTCATATTACTTGGCTCGCTCTGAAATTGTAGAAGCTTACAAGAAATAAAACATATACGGGATTGATTGGTGTCGTTTCAAATGGATTTTGAAGCGGTTTTATAAAAAATGTCTCTACTTCAACTCTGCTAACCTGACACATCCTTATTAATCCTTATCCTTAAGAAATTTTGAGCTACGAAGCAGTTATTATTTTATCAACGTCAATCTTAGGTAGAAGCAATCGTAGAATACGTAGGCAGAAGCTGTACTTGACAAGCACAGATATAATTGTTTCAATGATACGCATAACTCTTTATAATTAGCAGACTCATGGATGCTTAAAATAAAAGAAAATCAGATTAAGAGAATTTATTGGTGAACAATGCTAAGCAAGTTCAACAAGGCCAAGAAACAATAAAACAAGTTCTTCATAGTAAAAATTATTAGCATTACCGATATTGTTAGAGGAAAGCAAGAGATTGCTGGAATTAAAATTATATATCTTTAAAAAAACATTGGATTTTTATTACACTTCTACCCGTACAGAATTTAGACCAAGTTTCATTATAAGTAGGAAATTCTTAGCTTGTTTTCTTCACACTGACATTTTTAGTGATGAAAATTCTGTAAAAACCTGGCAGATTTTCTTTATATTGTCAGAGGAAAAACAAGAATTCTGACCACGTAATGAATTCCTCGTTTAAAAAAATATCTAGGAGCGTCACACGCTGAAATCAGGTCCTTTATATATTCGCAGATAAATACTATTATAATACTATTCGCAGATAAATACTATTATAATACTATTCGCAGATAAATACGATTATAAAAGCCTGAACCTGTCGAATTTCCAATTAGTTCTTCTGAGTCCAAATTCAACACTAAGTATCATCGAAAAAAAAACATTAAATCAAATCTTATAAATAATACGTGTCGCAAACGACCACGTCACGCGCAATTTAGCGTCGAGAAAAGAATATCAATACCAAAAGACAATTACATGAGTACTCAACATACGCTAGACATCCCCATGATATTCTATATTATATACAAGCCATGACATTATCAAGTGTGGTTTCATAGCCGAACCAATGCATATGCACGTATTACATTGTTATTTAACAATCGTATTGTTATCGCCGCTGATCTGTAGGCAAATGATTCAATATTCTTCTACTCAATGCAAATGCGGACACTCGATTATGTGGATTCTTTTATTGACCTCATTAAGACCACAACACAGAGATATAATACGGTGAATCGGCTCCTCTGATGAGCAATATAGATGAGTACTGGATTAAAAACTAATAGATCATGGCATATTTCATTTAATTTACTGCATTTAAATGCATTCAACACTTATGTTGGACATGTATATACATGGCCAAGGACCAAGGCGCAGGAAGCTGGTAAATGTTCAGATGCAGAGGTTTCAAATTTTAAGGGACTTTAGTCATGTCGGCAATTGAGTTAATTTTGGAGTGGAAGTCGTAATGAAAGCAAGCGTGACGCGGCAACCCAATCGCTTCAAGACG